TATAAAGGTTTTTGAAAAGATCAGTAAATATGTTACTTCTAGATGGATTGTTTGTATTAGGATTAGAATTAGCAGCAAATGCATATGTGAGAGATAAGTGTATCCTTCTATATTTAAGTGATGGCTCTCCAGTTTATGCTCGTAAACTTTCTATTGAGCTGATTCGAAATGCTCCTGTACCTATTCTTAATGCCGTATTTTTAATTACCTCAAGGTGGTGTAATAGGTAGTCTTTGGCAGATGCATATACAATGGAACCGTAATCTATTTTGAATCTAATTAGGGTTTTATAAACATGGATTAAGCAGTTATAGTGAGCTCAATAGATTTTATTAGATAGAGTTTTCATAAGATTAATTCCATTTTGACATGTTTTTTTTATTTGTCAAATGTGATTTGCCTTGTGAGTTTCTTATAAAAAATCATCCCTAAGAACCTAATGTCTTCGGCATAATTCAGGATTTGGTTACATAATTTTAGTTGCAGTTTAATCGGATCACGTTTCTTTGAAAATAACAAACACTTTGATTTGCTGAGTGAAAACTGCAATCCTGCTTTCTGTGACTTGTTTTCGAGTTCATGAAGTGAGGTTTGTAAGTGACACTGTACTGATGAGATGTTTTTTTCCTGAAGATACTAATACCAGATCATCTGCCACGAAATAAGCTGGAGTTTAATGCTATAATATTATTCATGGCAATTAAAAATAACGTTGCGCTTATTACAGACCCCTGAGGCGTGCCATTAGCTTGATGCCTTGTTGAAGATGTGCAGTGGTTGATTCTTACTTGAAAATTGCGTTGTTAAGGGAAATTTGAAATGAAATTTATATTACCTCTAATATTCCAAGTTTGTAGTTATCTGATAATATAGTAATTATCATAGTATCATAAAACACCAATAGTTTCTTGCTTATTCGCAAAAGATTCAAGAATATCAGATTCTAAATTAATGAAGTTATCATTAGTAGTTCGGTTTTGTCGAAATTTACTTTGCTCGTTAACCAAAAGGTGATTTCCTTCTAATATCCATAGCAATCTTTTAATAACTATTTTTTCCATGACTTTGCACATTACATTGGTGTGAGAGATGAGTCTATATGAGGAAATTTTAGTTCGTGCATTGTTAGGTTTGAGAATAGGTATGATTATTGAATTACACCAGGAAGTTGGAAAGATATTATTTAACCATGTTCGATTGAAATTTTTTAGAAGAGTACACTTAGCATTGTCTGGCAATTTTTTCAAGAATACTAAAGGTATATTATTGGGTCCAGGAGCAGTAGTATTAAGGGCAAAGTTAAGTTCATCTAAGGTTAAAGGAATTTTGAAGGAACTACTATCTCTATCTTCACAATCGAGCAGTTGTTTTTCTGTGTTGGTTTAGTGTGGTATAAACTCTTCGGAATAGTTGCTATTGCTGGAGTTTTTTCCGAAGTAGCAAAAGCATCAGCTATTTCTTTATTTTTTGTTATTACATTAGTATTATGAGTATTAAAAGGCACTTGGTAAAATTTGTTTTTTCCTGATATTTTTCGACTATTGGACCAGACTGTAGATAAAGGTGTTATACTGTTCATATTTGAGACAAATTTTCTCCAGTTGACTTTTCGAGCATTTTTTGGTATATATTGAGCATGTTATCTCTGTTTTTGTATTCAGTTATGTTAGTTGTGTTACTATGTTTTTTCATTCTATTAAAAGATGCTTTATATTGCTTGATTGCATTTTGACATTCTGTATTAAACCATGGTAGAGGTTTGTGTTTCCTTAATATTTTAGTTTTTCCTATATGTGTTTCTGCCGCGTATGTAATAATATTCGTAAAAATGTTGAGAGTTATATTTATATCAGTGTCTTCAAAACTAGATTTTTGTGATTATTTGTCTGTTTCGATGGCATCAGTATATTAGTCTCAATTAGGTTCCATTTTCGGACTGGTTGGTATTCAGAGATAGTGTCATCAGAAAATACAGAAATTTTTATTGGGTAATGGTCGCTCCCATATAAAAAATATAGAGGATCCCAATTAAAAGCCATTGAAAGAGTTGGGTCACAAATCGATAGATCGATTACCGATGTTGTACCAGTATCTACATTAAATCGGGTTGGTCTTCCATCGTTAAGAATGTTTAAATTTTCTTCAGTTAACAAGTCTTTGATTAGTCTGCCTTTGATATTAAAATCTGTTGAGCCCTACATTGGGTTGTGACTATTGAAATCTCCTACTATTAGCCTGGGCATAGGTATTTGTGAAATGAGTGCTTTTAAGTCGATTAAGGTGAGAAGTGTATTTGGGGGAGTATAGATGCAACATACATTAATGAATTAGAAAGCTTTAACTGAGACGGCTACAGCTTCGATGTCTGTTTTTAGAGAAATGGTTTGTGCTGTAACATTTTTTTTATTATTAAAATACTAATTATTTATAATTTCTTTTACCCCCGTGCGATACGCCGATGATTAGGAATTCCCGTGTTTACGATAAGAAAATAATATTGGATCTAATAAATTATAATGGACTTCCCTAATTACTAAAGGTAGTTAATCCTTTCCGTCTTAATACTCAGTATGAAAAGATCTAATGCTTTTGGGTAAGCAGGTTCTTATACATAAATTGATAATTTTCGCCGAAGGCCCCTATCTTTTGACAATAACTTAATCCCAAGTATTGTCTGCTTCTCATGTCCAACTGTTGATACCGGTATCTCAAAACTTTCGGAATTTTTACTTCCTCAGAATTACCTACAACTGTCCGATGATTTTAAGTGGGGGATATACCTTCTTCTTCTTTTTTCTTGGATAGTTGGTGAAATTTTTAGTGGAACCAACTTACTTCTCGGTGGGCTTTCGTTGAGCACAGGTCGATTATCTCGTGAGACTTCTCGGTGGGCTCTCGTTGAGCACAGGTCGATTATCTTGTGAGACTTCTCGGTGGCCTCTCGTTGAGTGCAGTCGCTTGCCTGAAATTATCGTCTCTGTGAAATATTTTCTAAGTGTGTATACACTCTATATTTCGGTTTTCTTGTCTTAGACTATATTAAGTTATATATAGTTCTATACTACCTTTAATGGTACCTAATTAAATTCAGTGTTGAATACCAGTACAGTATATTAAATTCAGTGAATTAAACTGCCGTCATCAGGAATTATGTAAGTTACCCTAATCTTTGTTTGCAAATTATCTGGGCGAGTAATATGGTATGGTATCATATCACCTGCCATTATCTGGACGTATCACCCATCATTCACCCATATCTTCATCTGTAGATTGCCGATTTTTATATTTAATTTAAAGAACAATTTAAGAACTTTCCATAAATAACAACTATGAACATCTCAGTTTAGCATTAATTTATAGTGCGAGATAGTAACCCACCTAGTCAAGTGCGGTTTGGCTAGTTAATGTTTTCAGCTCTGTAACCTGTTTGTTTTTTTTTTTTGTAAATTTAGAGTTAAGAAATTTTTGCTATCTTTTGTATTTGCTATAATTTTTGCTCATTATCTTTCCTATATTATCTCGAGATACGCCAAACTATATTTGTATATGATTGTCTTATGTATCTTGGTAAATGTATTTTTTTATTATATTATTGCTTAATTTTATACATATATAACACCATTTCATAGTTGTGTATTACTATTACTTGTGTTGCATTTAGCAGCATCATAATTTTGTGTTTAATATATTGTTAATGTTTTATGCATGTATTTTATTTGTCGGCTCCTAACAAGTTCCCTGATAAAATAGTAGCTCTAAATATTTGCTTAGTATATTAATTTATTACCATACCTTTGACCAGTAGAAAGATCAGGCTGATTAAGTTTCGTAGGTAAGTGTAATATCTAATATATCGATTATTTGTTTATATACTGTGTTGACCAAATTTATTTGATAATTAACTGTTGGTATCTCTAAAAAAAAACCGGATATATATATATCTTTCCTTGGGTTTGATCTCTGATCTCTGAAGAATATCTTTCCTTATCTCTTTCTTTTCTAGGGGTTCTTAATTTTCTCCTTAACCCCAAAAAATTGAGTGGCGCCCTGTTTCTCTCTTCTCTTATCTTTGGTAATTTTACCCATCTATCTTTTTGTTTATTTCTATATCTTTTCTAATATCTCTTATCCTATCTTTACTTATTTCGTCAGTTGGACCCAATCCCTGTTCCAAAAGCTAGTTTCGAACCAACGACTCGTTTTCCACCAACCATCTGGCTGCCGTCAGCAGTGTCTCCATTGGTTATCTTTCTAGCACCATCCAAAAAAGATTCCCGAGGTTACAGTGCTTCAAGAGTATTTTTAACATAAATGGCCACTCCACCACCTGCTTTTTCCTGCTTGTTTCTATTTTTATAAAATGTTGAAAATTTTTTAAATGTGTGGCAATATTGGTCTTTGAAATTCGATTCTTGGAGACAAATGATAGCGGGGGTAATATCATTAATTAAAAGTTTTAGCATTTCATTTCATAATAGGTATACATATATATATATATATATATATATATATATATATATATATATATATATATATATATATATATATGTATAATATATATATATATATATACATATACATATATATATATATATATATATATATATATATATATATATATATATGTATATATATATATATATATATATATATATATATATATATATATTCCTCCTTTTATATTCCACTGTAATAAATTGAATGTTATAATTATTGAATGTTTAGCTTCTGAGACAATTTAGTGGATCTCAGGTTCTTCATCTTTGTAATAGTCTTTTGAGAGCTGTCTCGTATTTTTTTTGTTTAGCTTTGCACATTTCAATTTTAATGAGCGCTCGGATGTATGTGAATGAATTTTGGTTAAGAGTTATCTAAATTTTGGAATGTCTACTGTATATTTATTTATAAAGCTGCTAACATCATTTGTTGTATGAGCGTTTTCAAATAAATCAACTGTTTCCTCAATAGTTAATATTTGCTTTTTGGAATGGAATAATTCTTTAATTGGTTGCATTAGCGTGTCTAAAGGTATTGTTAGTATTTTTGTTTTTATTCTTTTTTGTTTCTGAGTTAGCATTGAAATCGTCACTAGCTGATGTCTCAATCGGGGATGATATTGCTTCAGATACAGTTTGTTTGGAGGACGATTTAGATGTATTTTCCTCGTTGGATACGCAAAATTCTTTTGGTGCTGGATTCTCTTTATTTTCATTAACCGAGAAAGAATTATTGTTTAGACTGGAAGGTGAAGGCTGGTTAGTTATGATTATGTGAGATGATAGAGCTGATGAGGTGGGTATATTTGGTTTGGATATTAATGGCATTATATTATCTGTAGTTGATGTGTCGAGAGATGTAAGGTTGGTTGTAGATAATATTTTTGTTAGTGACGTTGAATTATTTGATATGTTTGTAGAGGTGTATGTTGTTGAAGGTGTAATAGCAGTCGTTTCTGTTGAAGTCAATGTAGTAGATTTGTTTCTGTTTAAAAAAAATCATCTACGACTTGTTTGGTTGATAAATAAATACAGATGCGAATAATTTGGACTAACTAGCGATCCCACCGCTAACAAGTATTCTTCTAATTTAACATTTGCGATAATAATTCATCGCTATGATTAGTGAGTGTAGTAAGTACGGACCTGTTCCGCTTCGGGTTTTGGTAATTGTCTTTAACGGCAAACAACTGGTGTCGATTAATGACTGGTGATATTTATTGACGGTTTTATAAAATTCTTTGGTTATGAATTACTTATTATTGTATTGTATAGTGTAGAGAGAATTCTATGATTAGTTTTTATAAGTTAAATTTACTAATTTGTCCGGATCGATCAAAAAGCATGTGTGCTTACTCGATATCAGTCTCTCACATTATTGTTGGATCCACAAGTATGTTTAATTTTATCTACAGATATACAACAACTTCTGCGACTATTATTATCAAATTAATAAAAAATATAAAAATAATTAACAGAATAAATATCAGTTATTATAACAATTTTTATTTTTCGTGTTGAATATCAATCCCTGTGAATGTTACAAAATCTTCTATACCAGCATTTTCCAATTAGTGGATAAATAAGTTATAAATTAATTATTATCATATATCATATTGTCATATATTGTGACATATATCAAAAATGATTCTTTTTACAAACAATTCTTATGAAAAGAAACGTACACGTATTTTTTACATCAGAAGAGGATGTTCAAGATTATACTTAACGTATGCAAAGATTATAGCGTTGATGCCATATATATCTTCTTCCAAAATGGTAAAGATAATAAACAAAGTGCACAGTCTTTTTATTATATTATCGATACTATTAATCTGTGGAGATGTTGTAATTTTTATGCTCGGGGACATGTCACACGATTCAATACCGAACACTATAATATTTCCTATTATTTTTTATCATTGCAATTGTGCGACATTATTACTAAAAGTTAACTTTATAAAAAGAGAGATATGGTACAAGCTATGGAAATGTCTTAAAAACATGACAGAACTCGGAGCTGACAGAATTCCTGTAGAGCTTTATGTTTATAATATATTTTACTGGCCAGTCGTCATAAATGACGCACGAAATGCTGCAAGAATAGGCATTGCCAGAGGCAGGGAACATATTTTTTCAATTATGTTTCCAAAATATATGACGTGCATAATCTTACTATTTTACTCCCATTTGATCAATTTGTGCAAAGGAAGTTTCAATCAGGTGGCAAATTCTTTGACTTCTGATATCTATAAAAACATGTATGATTTTGCAGTTGACTCAAGGATAATACTTTTATGTAAGCATTACAGAAACACCATAGAAGCAATATATTACGTAAACAAGTTATACAGCTTTTATATGTTGTTGTTTACTTTATATATTCTGGTTCAATGTGTTAATGGAATACATTCGGTGTTAATTGTTCCTGAAAAGGTCCATGCCTCATTTTATGTATTATATTCTCAATTTCATCCAATGGTTTTAAACACAGTAAGTAAATGCTTTCTTGTATAAACTAAAATTATTGCTAGTATTTTCTGTCTTTCTGCCAATCGAGCAAAGTTAACAAGTTTAAACAAGTTTGTTTTTACCATGTTTCGTATAATTTGATTTGTATATTCTGTATAATTAAAATGATCTATGTTCGTACTTCTTTTTTAACGATAAATAATATGCAGTTTAATGTAATAGAGTCGATTAATTAATGGTAGCTCAAAATAGGTACACTTAACGTAATATCAAAATTCATATAAGGTTGAATGCTCGAATAAATGAACTTTGATCAAATGAAAGGCAGATATCGAGCACAGTTTTATTAATTAAATCTTGTACAAGTACTTTCATTTTCTAGAGCATCTTCAGGGGCATTTCGTCAATTTTGGCCTATTTATATTTATGTACATAAAATTGTACATAACACTACACTACACAAGGACAAGCAGTTTAAAATTATTTAAAATAGGCGAAGCTACATTATGGTCGGCAACAGGAGAGAGAACGGACATTTTGTTTCTCGTTGCTGACCATAATGTAGCGCCTATTTTAAATAATTTTAAACTGTTTGTCCTTGTGTAGTGTATTGTTATGTACAATTTTATGTTTATGATATTCTGTGATTGTTTGATAGGCCAAAATTAACGAAATGTCTCTGAAGATGCTCTAGGACGCAAAAGTACTTGGGCAAGATTTAATTAATAAAACTGTGCTCGATATCTGCCTTTCATTTGTTTAAAGTGAATATCATAATGACTAACGTATTGACTAAGGTAAATAAACTACGTACACTAAAGAGCTCACCCCAATGTATAAGCTCATAATATAAAACAATAATTTATCAAAAAGGCAAGCTACTTTTTCCTTTATCTTCGGGTGCTTACATACATATAATATTTGCATTATACAAATTATTGTTATAGTATTTTGCACATAAACTAGTTTCATTGGAAGGTAAACAACGCCAGAAATAAATAAATTAAAAAATAATTATTAACCCATCAGGACATTGTTATTAAGACTGGGTCACTGGCCGGAGGTAACGACAAATGGACTAAAACAGAAGTTAGGATTCTAATTACAGAACGTTTGTAATAATTTATTACTTATATTTACCCATATACATATATATACTTACTTATATACAGATATATTTAACCATATATAAGCAAAATATCTAGTTTTGCTTCTAAAACAAACTTAATTAAAATTTTGAAGATTTATTTCTTTTGTTGTGCTAATAAAGTAGGAATGCTAGTTAGTAGACTTTTTGGTTAGTTGGTAAAATTTTTCAGTTTTTCGTACAGTATTTCTATACAGATTAAACGAAATAAATTCGGAACATAGGAATATAATGTATTTCGGCTTAATTCTGCTGTATTTGGTTGGCCAACAAAAGATTGTCAAATAATTATATTATAAAAATCCAATACTTCAGCGGGCTGCTGGATTCTGAACTGAAATTGAAAGCTACACATAAATCTATGATTTTAATATGCTGTCAAACCAGTTATAGTCCAGGAAATGAAGCATTTCACCTCGCAATTTTTTCGTGCTGCGTGGGTTGACTTGGCGGTGGTTGCCACCCCATCTCCGGGGTGAAAATTTTTTTTACGTTTTAACTACAGGTTTCAATTAAAAAAGTGATTCTAGACAAAAAATGTGCTATACATTTTTTTTATAAAATGATATTTTTCAAGTTATTCGCGATTGAAAGTAACAACTTTTAGACGAAAAAAATCCACGTTTTTAATCGATTTTTCGCGAATAACTCGAAATACGTTATAATTAAATAGTTATAACGAAATACGTTATAGTTAAATAAATACGTTAAAAAAAACCAGTTAATTTTTTTCCGGAAAATTCCATTAGTATAGTACAGTACATTTCGGAGCATAATAATCTACAAAACCGGTATTTTAGCTAGTGGGGCGTTATACATTCGAAATTGTAAGCGTTCTTATTTTGAAATCCCATACAACATAATAAAAGATCTGCTCATGTGTCTATGGCTTGGCAATAAAAATATCAGAGCAACAGATTGGGGATGGTATTCCAAAGATTGTTTGTTATTACCCGTACGCATGAACAAACAACCTGCACCCGATGAACTTTTGAAAATTACTTTTTGCCAATGCAAAAAAGGATGCGGCGTTTCATGTGGGTACAGAAAAGTTGGTTTATACTGTCACTCTACTTGTTCTGGGTGCTCAGATGAAGGGTGCAATAACAGCCCACCAATAATTGAAGAAGATGAGAATGACATAGATCACGATGAAGATGTAATTGATGACGAATAAAATTAATATTATAATTGTTTTACCTATAAATGTAAATATTTCCAACTATTTATGTAAATTTATAAGAATATAATTATGGTGCCTTTTTATGTTGATAAATTTTTTTGTATTTAATTCTACTTAAAAACTTATACTTAAAACTACTTATAAAATTAGTTTATAAAAACTGCAATGTTGTAAATGGTGATTTTCAAAAGTTGAAAAGTTGCAAAATTTTGGCAAAAAATTGTTTTCACCTATAGCACTCATAACAATTGATTTTTAAGGGTTGAAAATGTATGAAATTGTATTTTAAAGTTTTAAAAATCACTATTTAACTAATCCAAACCAAATTTCACTCATCTTAACATTTGTAATATTATTTTACAATTTTTGAAAATTAGGGGTAGTTTTCAGCCCTAAGAACAATCAGGGTTCATCGGCATGACATAAACTATAAAGCAGAGGGTGAGTTGAGCTTAATTCCAAATTTTTATGCAAATCGTTTCAAGGTGAAATCATTTTCTTCGCACTACTAATTTTTCTATATTAATCTCTAATAAGGGTCGCTTTTTAAGGGTTGATATATGATGGAACTTTATTCAAAAGCACGAAACTATCATTATTTAATTAATTCAAACCAAATTTTACCCATATTCAGGTTTAATATGTTATTTTATAATTTTTGACAATTAGGGGTAGTTTTCACCCCTAAGAACAATCAGGGTTCGTCGACATAACATAAACTATAAAGCAGCGGGTGAATTGAGCTTAAATCCAAATTTTTATCCAAATCGATCCAAGACGAAATAATTTTTTTAGAATTAGTAATTTTTTTACATTAATCTCTAACAGGGGTTGCTTTTTAAGGGTTGAAATATGATGGAACTCTATTCAAAAGTATAAAATAATCATTATTTAACTAATTCAAACCAAATCTTACCCATATTCAGGTTTAATATGTTATTTTATAATTTTTGACAATTAGGGGTAGTTTTCACCCCTAAAACCCTTCAGCGCACTTCGGTTCGATATATATTTTGATTCTTGGGC